GTAAAACAAAATCCACTTTAAAAATCAATCAACCATAATGAATTTTATGCTTTACATTTTTTTTCTGTCTTTACCTTTTTAAGAAGTGGCCCAAGTGCAGTCTAGCCCTTGTTTACAGGAGTACATACCCACAGAGTTTGTGGGGTCATTCAAAAACACTGTGTGTCCCAATCCAATATAATTATACGAGAAACCGATGTGCAGCAGGAGCACATGTATCCTGACAGAGTGTCAAGATCCAGATACACTCAACTTAAAGCCAGAGAAATGTCCTCACTTCACCTCATACAATATTTTTTCCTTTCGGACTGCTCATAACACCCACTCTGTTACAGTTCTGCAGTGTGATGCAGTGCAACAATGGCTACTGACACCACAAAAAACTCTCAGCAGTCACTATTAGACATCTACTGTATTTCAGTAATAAAGATCAAATGTTGTCCCTATAGATTCAGCTAAAACTAATGAGGCTTACAACAATAGCTCTGCACTACGAAGTCTCGCTGACACAAAGGGGTGGATAAAACAATTTAAAAAAATATTGCAAACTACCCAAATTCTCATTTATTTGAATCAACGCCTCTTTAAAGTAGAGTCAACAAAAACTCAACATTATCACATCCACAATGTTAAGATTTTTTGTACAACTGTTGTATGGCTGTGCTTAAGTTTGAGTCAGATGTTAATAATAAAACAGCTACTCTTTGTATAGGTTAAATTCAAAAGCTGCTACAGTAGAATAGCATAAAAAGAATTTCTAATAACTGTAGGTATCACTAATGAATAGCCAGCCTGCAGCACAGACGCATGTGAATGTCCATTTGTGCATGTGTACACACAATACGACTGACAGCTGAATGCATTACAACTTTGCCTCCAAGGATCTGTGTCCAACCTTTTATCCTGATGCTTTATTCCCTCTGACATCTCTCACCTGCCGCAGTTTGTATGCATGCATGCATACACTTACATCAAAATTTTATTGTCAAAGAGAGACGACAATCTGACTGAACCATTGTGGTAGACTGATGCTACACAGTGTGAATCTGTGTACAGGGAAAATAAGAGCACTTTGTTCTCTTATCCTCCTATCATCCCACTAGATCATTTATGAAAACATCAAACAATGTACTTCTGTAAGACCTCTGTACATTTTCTAAAATAAAAACACTTTTTTTTTTTTTTTTTTTTTTTTAAATAGTGGACATCTAAGAACCTTATTTTCAGTTAATAACTGAATAAGAGCTGAAGAATGAGTCATTCAAGTGGTGCTGAGAGGCCTTGTAGCGAGATCAGTGGACCAAGTAACTACTGGGAAAGTACGCCTACATCTCTTACAGACATTTATGGAGTTGATTACTGAATACTATTTAAGTGAATCAGCTGCAATGCACAAATGTATCATGAGATGGTGTGTCTGTTTTAGTAAAACTAAAACAGTCAGTCCCTTTCAATATGTTGCAACTACCTCAAGAACAAAAGAATGTGTTGTTGTAAAATGCCTTTTTTTTCCTCGACCACCTCTCACTTATAGGGAAAAGGCCACTGCAATGTCACGGATCTAACACGGCAAGCTTCTCTCAGCTGTTCCCTTCCTGGTAAGAGGTCACCACAGAGGATGGATCCACATATTTGATTTAGCACAGGCTTTCAGGCCAGACGTCCTTCCTGACACAACCCTTCCAGGGATCTGACTCTCCTTTCACTCCCAAAGCGGGGGATAACCACTACACTTTAGTAATCCTACAACAGAACTGTGGCTGTAGCATTTCAGTACACATCTAGAATATATTATTTTTTGAACCGATTAAGATGAAAGCAGATATAGCACTACAACAATCACCAGCATGTCTTCATAAAGGGGGATGGAGAATGACAACAACATATCTGCCCTTTAATCCACAATATATTGATGTAGAACAAAACTGTAATATGCACGCAGGCAGCAAGGTGAGAAATGTTTCCCAATTTATTACTATGAAGCACGATGGTACAGGTGCGCTAAATGTCATCTCAAACCAACACGTAGAAAAATACAATTTTAAATTAAATAAAGCATTACTTCTTCTTTTGGCTGCTCCCTTTACGGGTCGCCACAGCGGATCATCTGCCTCCATTTCACCCTCCCTTTAATATCCTCTTCTGTCACACCAGCCATCTCTATATCCTCCTTCACTACATCCACAAATCTTCTCTGTGGTCTAATTAAGGCCTTACTTAATAAAACAAAAAATTATTTTCAGTGCTTAATCACCATTTCATGTGGATTTCATGAAGGTATGACCTACGAATGGTTTGCACGTCTATTTTGAGTGCTGCTTAATCGCTTCAACTGATAGTTAATCAGGAATAAAATAGTGGCCAATTTGTCTGATAATGCTGTAATAACCAATGTTACTTTTCAGGGAAAAGTTCAAAAGCTCCCTTTTTCTCAGTGTGTGTTGCTGCCATCTTTGGTTAATAATACAGTGAAACATCTTTTGATTTTAGACTGTTTGGCAAAATACTGGGACACATTTATTATATTTTTCTAATGTTGATTTTATCCAAATGAACAACTGAAAAAAATAAATAACCCCTCTTGATTGATTCCTATACAAGAGAAATATTCAGAGTCCCCAAAATGCAGTTGAATGAATCTTTATGTACAGCAACCTTATTATTACTATTAACCATTGATTTCTTCTAAGATGGTCCAACCATTGAAATGTTTACATCTGCTAACCTCTAAAAGAACAGTAGCATTACTGGAGGTTGAAGTTGAGGGACCGGGAGCTGGACGAGGCACAGGAAATGAAGGTGACTCTGGAAGCTGCCGTCTGTCGGTGCTTCATTCGCCGATCTGTGATGAGCAAATCACTAAGTGGTTCAAACCACACGGGAATGAAGTGCTGGAAAGCTCTGTTACAGAACCGCTGTCTGTCGTAACATTAAGTGACTCCCGCTTTCAACAGTCTGACGGTTTTATGGCTGCATTGTACAGCCTGCCATTCATATACATGAGCCTGCACCCCACACATGCCAAAAGCCATACGACATCCACCGTCTTCCTCAAGCGAAGTAGACAGATGAATCAACTTTAGCATATAGGAACAACACTAGATCTCATCCAGTAGGAAAAAACAAAACCACAAACGTAGTATTTTCTGAGTAGAGCTCCTAAAGCGAACCACTGACCTTTAAGTTAATATACTTTCATCTGGTGGATGCAGTTCTAGTGGATGCCTTTTGATTTATCTAGAGTCACAAAAATAAAGTCAGCCTTTAAAAAAGACTTCCTTGTTTGTATATTAATAAGATTTAGGGTCTTCAGTCCCCCCCCCCGCCCCGCCCCAATCACAAAGGAAAGCATTTCTAGATGTCATAATTACAAACAGGATGAAAGTATCACCTATTAGAATCACTGAATGTCTATCATCCACAGAGCAGTGTGCATCTTCCAGTCTCGATCGTAGACTATTATTTTAAATGTACATAGTTTGCTTACACAGTAATGCTCTGGTGAAGCCAACAACAGTAGCATCTCACAAATCCCTTTAGACAGATAAGGCTTCTTGAATTAAATGGGATTAGTAGTCAGTGACTAAAGCAAGTAATCCCCCACCCACCGCCTACAAAAAAGGGAAAAAGAGATGATGGCAAAAAGGATTCATTTCACTGATAAGACTAGTCAAAAACAGGAGGGTAAATAAATAAATAATTACCTGTAACATTTGGAATAATCCTATCTGATATGCACCATTTAAACACACATCTTGTAGTATCAAGTTTTTTAAAAAGTGCCTTTTTTAACTTCTGCCACTGCTCGTTGCATTAGGCATAAATAAATGATCCAGCTTGCATATGTTACCCTGAGCACTGCACTTGGAACTGGCATGTTCACTGATTTCCTATACTGTATACGACGAAAAGCAATTAGATTTAAATAAAATTGAGATGAATAAATAATGACAACGAGCATTAGTTGCAGTGGATATCTGTGCACAGCAGCTAAGTCCTGGTGTAAGTGACATTCAGATAAAGTATACATTTGTTATGAACCCAGGCAGGAGTTGATGGGCACTGACATAGTTAGCCACTTTAATCCAGTGTGCAAACATTTGCACATGCAGAGTAAACCTTTTCTACCCATTTTGACCTTTCCCACTTCTCTCCCCTAAATTCTCCCCTAAATTCAGCGCCAAACTCTTAACAAATTTAACTCCAGAAACAGTCATTTTCTCCATAGTGGCTGCTGTAGCCTTGAGGCGTTTGTATTTACCCTCACATCAGTGGTTAATATGTAGATATATCAGTCAGAGTGTGGCATGCACTGGCAGTGCACTGCATACCAGAGATAGCAAGCAAAGTCAAAACAGCGATGGTTGGACAAAAATGGTCACACTCAAACAAGCTTAAGACACCATTTTGAAAAATCCACCGATTTCTAGATAACCACTCCGAGATGCCATCTTGCCAATTATCACTAGATTAGCCAGCGTTAGCATGGCGATCCATCCATTCCGAAACACTCCGTGCAGGAATCTGCACGGGTCACATATTACTAACGTTAGCTTAGCTTGCGTGCTAGCCTGAAAAGCCAGTCGCTAACCCGTCGTAGCATCCCTGCATCTCTCGGCACACGCTGCCCCATTTAAAAAAAACGCTAATTAGCAAGTTAGCCGGGGCAAAATTAGCAATGACAATGAAAACCACTCGCAGCAGGTCAGACCCGCAACGCACTGGGAAAACAGCTGCTAACACTACTACCTGGCGGATGACAAATAAAGTGAAAAAACAAAACAACAAAAAACCTGACACATGCTTCAAATAGTATCACTTTAAGTCCGCTGTTTAAGCTAGCCGCTTTAGCTTAGCCCGCTAGTTCCCCACTGTAGCCACCACGGAGGACAATTAAAGGGATACGGAGGGAAAAAAAGATAGGAAAAAAACCCCGAACAAGCATCAAGAAAACACACAGACATTTCTCCTCTTTGTGATAAAAAGCATAAAAGACTTACCAAAGCTACTCGGTCGATCACGGAAGGGAAAAAAGGAAAGATTCCCCGAATGTGTACGTGCTCTCTCCCGTGTGAGTGTGCTGCCTCGGGTTGGTGCGGACTGGCTCTGCTACAGCAGCGTTTTGTCGGGCCAGTGGCGCTGGGAAGACAGCTTTCACCCGGAGAGACGGCCACAGTGTGGGGGATGGGGATGCACTGCCGGGAGGGGAGAGAGGGAGGGATGCAGGGATGCAAGAGACAGAGGAGGGGGGCCAGACCCACCAATAATATAAACTGGAGAGGCTCTGATAATAGCCCGATAATATGTACACCGATTCAGTGCAGTCTCGTAAAAACTGAAATCAGTAAATGGCGTTAGTATGTGCTGCCCGTTTACACTGATTTCACTCCAGTTTCACAACAATGGGACGGTCTCTGACTTTTATAGGATGGTCTGTTGTATTAAGATGAAGGAGGATAAAGCATATAGAGTATAATGACTGTTTTTTCCCTTTTTTTGCTTTTCTGTATATTTGCATTTTATCCATGATTGAGCCCACGTTTTATGTAGTAATAGCATAATAATAATAATAATAATAATAATAATAATAATAAGAGGAAGAAGAAGAAGAAGAATTGAATTGTGTCTACAAAAGCTCTTATTCTGTAATCATGTTTTTCAGGCGTTTTCAAGAGTGTGTTTTTGTGTCACTGTGGTGGTGAGACGGTGTTTTGAGAAACCGTCCTACTTTGGCAAATCGTCCAACCTGCATTATAATTTGACCCTAACCCTAACCATAAGAAATATTCACAATGGGTTAAAAATGATGTAAATTTGGGGGTTGTGTTACGCGCATGCGCAGCGTTTGCGCAGAAACAACGGTTAGGATGGTTTGTGAAGTAGGATAGATTCCCAGAACAACACGATACTGCAGCACCGCTTTAAGTTCACGTTCTAATTCAGATTCAATGGCTGTTGTCCTATGCATCCCCATAATCATTTCTCCGCAGCACGGCAGCGTCACCCAGTGGTAAGAAATATTACTGCATCAACATAGTGTCAATGAGAAGCAGACAGGAGTAAAGTTCTGCCCATAGGAATTTTCCGTGTGACTCAAAATTACTTGATATGTTTGAGATATGTTTTCATTTGCAACAGAGAAAGCACCCATGGTTAACTAAGCAAGCTAACCTGTATAACTGCTGAACGTTAACTGTTCTAAACTTGTAACTAAAGCAAATAGAAAGGCTGACCAGAACACTCGCCAGAAATAACCGACCAATAGGGGAGAACTACAGTTCCCAGCGGCCATTGCGCCTTTTTCTGCAATAAATAAAGAGTACAATGAAAATAAATGAGGGGGATATAAAGGAGACACGGGCATTATTCTTTTTAGGGAAAATCGCAAATTCAGTAAACAAGATGACAGGAAGAAGACGATTAAACGCAAAAAAACAAACAAAAAGCCGACTGAAATCTCGCGTGATTTCAGGCTTCCGGAAACTAGAATAGCATGAGAGCTCTCCGAGGTGCTGACACTGTCGTGAGTATTACTTGTCCTGCCTCAGACTAACTAGCTGCATATTTCACGCATTTTATACTCATATATTTTTGACTTTTAACGTCCAGACATCACCTCAGGTAATATCTAATGTGCTTATCTTGAATGCAGTAATCGTGTCAGACACTCAGTGTCAGACACAATGATACTACTGAATGTCTTAATGGTAGAGGAGGACTGGACTGTGTGTTACAGATCTGTTCATGTAAATTAGTTTGTTGCATTCTTGTATCTCTTATTCCCTCTGTGTGTGTGTGTGTGTCTTTTCACAGACTCACTCCATTACTATAAATTGCATCATTTTTCTATTCTTTTTTTTTCTTTTTTCAGATTCTGGCGTAATGGATGAAAATCATGACTTGTCCTTGTGTTTGACCAACACCCACAACCCCTGCAGCAGCAACAGCCCACCCAGCAGTAAACCTGGCAGTGCTCCACAATGCAACGGGGTCGCAGAGCGCCGGACAATGCTGCGGGTGTCTGAGTCCCATGGACTGCAGCTCCTGGGCGTGCTCAGATCGCTCAGGGAGAGAGGCTTGCTGTTTGACTTCACCATTAAGGTGCAGGAACGCAGCTTTCCCTGTCATCGCTGTGTTCTTGCAGCATGTAGTGATTTTTTCAGGTATCTATCTATCTATCTATCTATCTGTCTATCTATCTATCTATCTATCTATCTATCTATCTATCTATCTATCTATCTATCTGTCTATCTATCTATCTATCTATCTATCTATCTATCTATCTATCTATCTATCTATCTATCTATCTATCTATCTATCTATCTATCTAAACACATGTGTCTTGGGTTTAGGGCCATGTTTGAGGTGGATATGCGAGAGCGTGATGATGGTTCAGTAACGCTGGGTAATCAGTGTCCAGCAGCGGTGGCTTCTTTCCTGGACTTTGCCTACTCCGGGGAGGCGCTCATCACTGATGGCAACGTAGACATGTTGTTTCAGCTCGCCTCTTTTCTGCAGGTAGAAATGCAACTGCTTCATCTTCCTTCTTACCCTTAAACATGTTCATTTTGCCATGACTTCCTGGGATACTGCAGTAAATCAATAATCTTATTATTAATAGTTATTGTACCAGACTGTCGGGGTCAAGAGAGAGCTGAGTAATCACTGAAAGAGTAAGATCGTGAATACAAGCGGCCAAAATGAGCTTCCTCTGCACGGTGGCTGTGCTCAGCATTACAGATAGGGCAACGAGTTCAGACATCTGGAGGGATCTCTGAGTGGAGCCGCTGCTCCTGCGTTTCAAAAAGAGTTGAAATGGTTTGAGCATGTGGTTAGGATGCCTCCTAACCAAGCTTTCCACTGGGAAGAGACCTCAGGGTAGACTCAGAACCTGCTGGAGAAATTATATTTGTCACTTGGCTTGGGAGCACCTCGGGATCCTACTGGAGAAAACTGAACAGTTTGCCTCAGGAGAAGGATGTCTGGAATGCCTTGTTACCCCTTTCCCCCATAAAGATGACACTTGATGACCTCTCCTGTACCCTTGAAAGACAAGTTTCGACACCTCGGTATTTATCAATAAAGATTTGGTTGGATGATCATTAGAATAGTTTCAGGTTTTTTCTGAGGCTAGGCAGAGACCATTCTCACTGACCTCTGCTGCAAACCTTGATGCATTTTGTTCTTCAAGCAGGTCTGAAATATAACAGAAATAGTTCAGTTCAGAAGGAGCTTCAAGTCTTACTCCTATTAGGCTTTAAAGGGGTAAAGAGTTAAAGACCGAACACTTAAAATGAAAAAATCTATAGTTGTGACAGTCAGCTAGGCACTTATCTTCTTGTTGCCAAATGTCATTTTAACATGAAAATTTCCCTGCTCTTGCTGTTGTGCCTTCAGGTGTCTGTCCTGTCCAAAGCATGCAGCGACTTCCTGATAGGAACCATGGATCTTTATAACTGTCTGTCTCTCTTGTCTCTGGCTGAGGGATACGGCTCAGCCTCTCTCCTGCAAAGTGCCAATGAGTTTGTGGTCCAGAACTTCTTTGAACTCTCCAAAACGCAGGACTTCCTGGATATGCAGGTGAAACCCAATCTTGCACCTAAACATTGCATCTATGCAGAGAAAGGCTGGAGGCTGATCAGAGTCTCTGTTGTAATTTATTCTCTATATCCAGTTGCTAAACACTTCATTATGTCTGACTTAAGAACTAGTTAAGGCTCAAAGCACCAATGATGTTGGATTTCTTGCATATTTGGTGGGATTTTTCATATTATTAATTGAGATATTTTGGTTCATTGTTATAACAGCTCTGAAATCCATTAAAGCAAAAATAATATGCAACTCTTATTGTTTTATGATGTATCCAAAAAGCACGTTTGTTATGATTAATAAGCCCAATAGTTAAGCTAATGGTTCCTCTGCAACATGTAAAAAACATTGTATACACAATATATTTCATTAAATCTGCTTCTATATCAGTAACAAAACATCTTTTTGTTTCATGTTTTTAAGCTGACAAATACATCACATTAAAAAAAAGTAACTCTTTTCAGGTTAATGTCTTGGAGTTGTGCCTCAGGTCAGATGCTCTAAACATGCCCAGTGAGGAGGCAGTGGTGGTGTCGCTCCTTGGATGGATTCGCCATGATCTCCCAGGAAGACAGAAGCTGTTGCCGGGATTGCTGTCTCTGACCCGGCTGCACCATCTTCCTGCACCTTCACTAAAGGTACAACCGAACCTTTACCTGTACTGGGTTTAAAGACTTTTTGCAGTTTGTGGATTTGTGATCGCATCACCTTTCCTGTGTTGACTCTTACATTCTCTCTTAGTCTCTGTGTGATTCTGACCCTCTCCTCTGCAACGATGAGTCCTGTCTCGCCCTTGCGTCAGAAGCCCAGAGCAGACAGACAAAGCACAATGGCCTGCTCACTGATGCCAGGCCTTCCACCACGCAGAGTTATATCTACATCCACAAGACAGAGGAAAATGGAGAGATCCGGCACACCTTCTGCTACTGTCTGGAAACAGACCAGTGGAAAGAGCTGGGCACAGGGCAAGAAGAGGGGACAACTATGATGCCAGATCCACCAGGATCTTACCTTACCAGCTATGCTGAGAAGGTAAGGTTTACAGCATCAAATGAAATAATGTCAATTTGTGAATATTCTTTATAGTTATATGGTGCTGTTTACTAGAAAAAGGCATCATCTTTTCTTACTCTTTGTCCTTGTTGACTAAAGATTTTGATCACCATCTTTTCTGCTATCTACTGGATTGAAGATGTTTGTCACAGGTGGTTGCCAGGGAAATTGCTGCCGGGCGATACGCCTCCACGTGGCTGAACCTTTCCATGATGCCACTGATGAGGTTTGGTGCTTCTGTCCCGTGACCTTAACCTGCACACCTGCACCTGCCATGCTTAAGCCCAGAACCATGCACACAGCTGTAACGTGCCTGGATCGAGTGTATGTCATTGGAGGACGGACCAAGGGATCCAGAGGGGGGGCTCCCAGTCTGCTGGAGGTAACAGTGTTGGTTGGGATATGCTTCCATTAGTAGGTCATGGAATCAGTCATGGCCAACAGTGTTGATCTAATTCATGTGCGGTGTTGGATTTTAGGTGGAGTATTATAACCCTTTGGCTCAAACCTGGCGCTCTGTCAGTCCACTTCCCACTGCTATCTTCTACC